TTACACTGGTCATTTATTCATACCTGACCTCAGGAAAGTCATGTTTGAGTCATTCTACTGTCTTCCCTATTCTCATTCCCCTTCCTTTCCTTTAATTCCTCTTTGTCTAATCTAATGAACTTCTATACTTCCCCTCCCTACTCTCCCTTGCTAGGGTTGGCATCAAGCTATCAGAGAATATTTGGCCTTTGGGTTTGGAGGATTGGCTTATTTCACTTAGCCTGATAGTCTCCAGTTTCATTAATTTTCTGGTAAATGCCATAATTTCATTTGTCTTTATGGCTGAGTAATATTCCATTGTGTATAGGTACCACATTTTCTTTATCCACTCATGTACTGAGGGCATGTGGGTTGGTTCCATAATTTGGTTCAATATCTACTATGAATAGAACTGCTATAAACATTGTTATGGCTGCATCACTGTAGCATGCTGATTTTAAGTCTTTTGAATATATGCTGAGGCATGGGATAACTGGGTTAAATGGTGGTTCCCTTCCAAGTTTTCTAAGGAAACTCCATACTGATTTCCAGAGTGATTCCACCAATTTGCAGTTCCACCATCATGTGCTTATTTTCTATCTACAATTTTCACTCTGAAACATTGATAATTTTATATAGTTTGTTTTATGTTGCCTGGTGTAAGAGTTTAAATATTCTGGGTTCATATGTGGAAATAAAATTAAAGAAGAGGATGATCAAAAGAAAACTATGTGCTGGTGAAGAAGTGTAAAACATCACTTGCTCTATACTATGTACATCAGCAAGATTGATTTTAGAAGGGGCAGATACAAGCAGGCAACTGGAAAACTGCTCTCAAACTCAGCAGTGTGGGAAATCATGCCTTAACTTAGAGACTATTCTCATACTGTCACCCACATTAACCACTGGAGCTTAGGAACATTCTTCTTAATTAAACAGAAATTCATTGGCAGGGTAGATTATATGTTAGGCCACATAACAGGACTTAAAATAGAAGAGGATGGAGTTATTCTAGCTTTATTCTGAAAGACCAGTTGTTCTCTCTTGGTAGAGTCACTGACATTTACAAATCTAGAAACAATGTGTGCTACCATGCATACATTATTGGCAATAAGGAAACAGTAAAAGCTGGGTGTGGTAGTGTCCACCTGTAATTCCAGAAGCTTGGGAGGCTAATGCAGAAGAATTACAATTTTAAAATCAGCCTCAGCAACTTAGCAAGGATGTAAGCACTATAGTAAAACATTCTTTTTTAAAAAAGAAAAATGGGAATGAGGGTAACTGGGGCAATTAAACCCTTCTGCATTCAATCACTGATACCAAAATAACAAAGACAAAAAAACAGGATAGCTATTTAAGGCTTGTTTTTAAAAAAGAATATTTATTTTTAATTGTAGTAGGGCACAATACCTCTATTTTACTTGTATATTTTTATGTGGTGCTGAGGCTAAAACCCAGGGCCTCACACGTGCAAGGCAAGCAGTCTACCACTGAGTCACAACCTCAGCCCAGAGCTTTTTTTTTTTTTTTTTTTTTTTTTTTTTTTTTGTGTGTGTGTGTGTGTAGTTTGGTTATATAGAACTTGTTGACCATCTGCAAAACTTTATCTTTACTGAACCAGATAAAAAAATAAAACTAGCAAGAAAAGAAAATTTAATTCTCCAATGTGGAGTATTTCCTCTTCTGTTTTCTTGTTAGCCCTGCAAATTAGATTACGAAAATAATTTTTCACTTAAGACTTCTCTGCATTCAATGAGAAGTTTAGAATCAATAATCTTATCAGCAATTTGGTCATGAAATCGATTCCTGTACTCATTGGTTCCATCTTTATTACTTTTTTCTCTTGGTAACTTCCACTCGTGAAAGAAATAACTGGATCCTTGAAGGGAGAAATGTTGAATAGAGAAGAAAGATCCAGGAGAAGTAGAAAACGAGGTGATAGGCAGGTCCTGTGAAAGGACAACAAATAAATGATGCTATGTGCAAGTATCAAAATATAAAAGTGAATCAAAATTTTATTAATAATTCAATGCACCAATTAAAAAACAACTGAAATGATACCAGTAGAGTACAGAAGCAGACTTAAGGGAGGGTGTAAGGGAGGGGAAAAGAGAATATTGGGGAATAAAATGGATGAAATTATGGTTCCTGAATGTATGATTATGTGTACAGTGAACGCCACTGTTAACGTACAATTATAATAAACCAATGAAGCATTATACAAAATAAATACAAGTGTGTTAACTATAAAAAATTCTGAATAATTCAAGACCATGCAACACTAAAATTAAATTGCACACAATTAAGAATGATTTCAACAAACAAATAGAAACAGTTAAATAGATATAAATAGGAATACTCGAGGAAAACTCAAGTAATAAATGTGAGACAGTTTTGGCAATAAAGTGGCAATGTAATACAAGTAACTCAACAGTTCTTTATAAAATGGGAACTTATACTTTTAGACCAAAAGGCCTCTAGGGGGCACTGTGGACATTTGTAAAAAAAAAAACTGGTAGAAACTCAAGTGGTTTAGATTTATTGGAGGAACAGTTACTCAATGGACCCTGCACAGTGCTCGTGCAGCTGCTTCCTCCCATGGGGAAAGTCCACATAACACAGCCACCCTGTGTCTATTCTGAAATTCTAAGTGTTCTCAGGACATGCTTTAGAAGTTGATGGTAAAGGGCTCATATTTATATAATACACCACGTAAACATGCCCCCTATATCCAGACAGTTCAATGAGTAATCATGGGCCATCAGGAAGTTTGGCCTAAATTTAAGGGCCAGGAAATTGTTCAAAAATGCATACCACAACCTGGACATGTCTTCTTCTCCTTCTGACTCAGTGTTCAGGATAAGAAAGACTTTGGATTGCAACCATTGTAGTGGCTCGCTGTTGTCCTTTTTTATTCTAGACATGTTTTGTTGGGGTTTTAGGGTCCACTTCTCAGGTTGTGGACTCGGGAGCCCCATATGGCCACTTGCTCAGGATGGACAGTCTCTCTCATCTGTGGCTCCAACACAGTTTTGGTCACCAATAATCACTTCTCATACTTGTAGCAGAAATCTAGCCAAGTGCCAGGACCCTGATTTGAAACAAAAACAACATACACCCTTGGTCACCTTCCTGGATCTCAGGCTTCGTTTTTGGGAGCAAATCTGCCCAACCCTCTCAGGTGCCCACCTGAGGGTGAATAGGGTTCAATGTGTGATACATCACAATTATGCTCAGCACAGTCAGTCCCAGGTGGGCAACAGAGATCTAAACCTGCACATGACTTATCCTAAATAGAAACCTGATCACAGGATATGGAAATCATAAGACCAGACACTGACAAATCTGGCAGCCCAATGATGACTTATCCTAGAGAAAGGTTAAGGTACGGGGTTGGTTAATTTCTCTCTATGTTTAAATCCAAAATGGAGGATATATGTGAGTTGTTTTCAAGGAAATTTTACATAAAGTAGGAATTAAATTATTTTATCTTCCAAAAGGGATAGTATAACCTGAATCTGATCGGAAGACTGAGGTCAAATCATTTCTTCCAGTGATTAGCATCTTCATTGATGTTCATTTTGTAATAAATCAAAGCAAAAGACCTACTGTTGTGTAGTAAAAATTCATTTCATTATACTTAATTTTTGTACAATGCAAGAACTTGGCACCACATTTTAAAATATACTGAAAGACACACTTCCTGAATTGCCCATTATCTTCTGTTTTGTCACCACTGTGAGGGACCCTCAATTGAGGATAGTTCTGTGGTGTGCCTACCCAACAATCAGAGCTCATGCCCTGTCCTCTGAATTATGCCTGAGCCTAGGAAATGCTTCCAAGTCAGCTCCATCATAAACAGGGACTGGCAAGCAGCCTGTGTACCCAGAGAAATCATGTATCATGAGAGATCCGTGTACTACTGCCAGAGCCAAAAACTGTGGGCCTTTAGCCATAACTAAGCAACTCAAGCTTAGAATGCAGCTTAAGCAGAGCTTGAGGTGTATATTATCTTTCAACTAATGTATTCACTGATATTTATTATTGGTCAGCATTGGAAGCCAGAATATCCATAAGATGGTGTTGTGCATAGGATGGAACAACACTATAACAATATGTAGAGGTCTTTCTATCAGAAGAGTCATGGAATGTTTTTGTCATTTTTCCTTTAAAATTCATACTTTATTTTCTCTTGACTCCTACTACAAAAGCCCCAGGTCTGCTGATTTCTTCATCAAGTCTATCAGTTATTTTCCTTTTTTGTCTCCTGAGTTTTCCTCTTTTTAATGAATCCAATGAATCATACACTGTACAATTTTAAATTCCCAAACTCTTATCTATAAAGTCCATATGCACCAATTTCAGGAGGAATTTGGTAGAAGAGAGAACACTAGTTTTACAAAGAGACTCATAAGTGGGTTCAGAGTTCACCTGCAGTCTTCATTCTCAGCTTATGTGTTTTTCATTGCATGTAGAGTTTGTATATAAGAGCCCCCTTCACCTGAAAATGCCATAGAAAATTGTTCAAATTGTGTTTCCTATTTCTATGGGATATTGGAGAGAATAGAAAATTAAAGACTGAAATGAGATAGATTGTTCCTAATCCTATCCTGGACTGGGATCAGGCAGTGCTAAAGGATTTCTTGGAGGCAAGAGACTCTGTCAGGACCACCTGTCACCTGGACACAGATGGCACTGACTTAAGTCTGGGCAATGTGGAAAATATATGTCCGCCATGGAAAGGTTTTGGCCTCAAGTTTGAGAACCTTGACACCTGACTCCTGGTGTCAGGACAGAGCTTATTATTTCAACAAAGACCTCTCTAGGCATCTAGAATGTTTCAGGCTGTGCACACTCCATGCATACTTCCCCCAGAAAAGACAGACAGGGAGGGGCTTGTTGGTCTAGGTAAGTGGCACAGATTTGCATGAACAGATCCTCTTTTATCCTCTGGGTTTTGAGGGTTAATAAAAGAGTCCTGGGGCATGTTTGCTTCAGGAGAACTCTGGGGTGTGTATACCATGGCCTGGACTCCAGCCCTTTTCTTTATGCTCTTCCTGTTCTGCACAGGTCAGCATTGTCCTTGGCATCCTGACTCATGGCATAAATGTTCTTTCTTTGTGTGCTTTTTTTCAGAATATAATAAATTTCTGTGTTTTTAGGTTCCCTCTCCCAGCCTGTGCTGACTCAGTCACCCTCTGTATCTGCCTCTCTGGGAGCCTCAGTCAAGCTCACTTGCACCCTGAGTAGTCAGCACAGCAACTACTACATTTCCTGGTACCAGCAACAGCCTGGAAAAGCCCCACTGTATGTAATGTATGTTAACAGTGATGGAAGCCATGGCAAGGGGAACGGGATTCCTGATCGCTTTTCAGGCTCCAGCTCAGGAGCTGACCGCTACTTAAGCATCTCCAACATCCAGAATGAGGATGAAGCTGACTATTTGTGTGGTGTATCACATGACATTGGTGTGCCATTTGGGTAAAACACAGTGACTCAGGTCAATGGAGAAGTGAGACAAAAACTCTTCTCTATTTATCTTGCAAGGTTGTCACATTGCTCTCAGAAAGTTTCTGGGTACAAAGAAACTGAAATTCTCATTAAAATAGTAGAAAAAGTGACCCAGATGCATTTTTATTCTTGCCAAAAGTCCCCTGGGAAACAGTTCACTGGACAAGACTCTTATGGAGTGAAGACATCTGTAGCAATGTGCCAATACTCTGACAGATCACACTTCCCCTACTGGTGCATTTCTTACATGGCATGCCATGCCATTCTTCTTTCTAGATTTCAACTGTGGAAGTCAGTACATACATTACTGTGTCACACTGAGACTGATTTATTATTATTATTTTACAGATGATAATCATATATGTTTATGAGGTGCAGTGTGGTTTTTTATATTATTAGAGCTTTAAAGTTATGCATAGTAGTTGAGTTTATCCTATCAAATGCACACATGCATGGAAATCAATTTCACTACATGATTCCCCTCTTTTCCCTCCCATCCTCCCTCAGCTGGAGAAATACAACTGTTTGTGTGCTCAGAATCTTATTTTTTTTTACAGAGGGTGGAGAGAAACTGATGCAGTGAAAATGTTTAACACTGTGATGGAGAAGTTGAGGCTGCATGACTCCTTGTCCTATCCAGTAGTTCATGGCCAAACGTGTGTCTATCACTCAGAGTTTCTCCTCCTGCACTGGGCTCTTTTTCTACCTCTCTGTTTGTGACAACAATCAGAGGGGCTTTCCTCCAAAATTTGTAAACCATAAAGGAGATTCAGAATCCCCTATGCTATTTTTAAGAAACCCTTCACATTCCTGAGGTTCAGTGGACCCAGTTGTCCCACCCAAAAGGCATGTAATATTGTTATTTAATCTGCAGTCATAAGTCTCCCAGAAATATTGGGTCTTTCTTCCTCTGCTCTCTTATAGAATGTCTCACCTTACACCAGAGCCAATACTCTAAAATAAGGTATAATAAAGGGCACAATCCTGCTTAAACATATGTAGGTCAATGAGGAAGACAACTGAAGGATCTAAATATTGTCTCTGCTGTATACCTGTACCCTACTCACCTCTGCACCCACAGTTGCCACATCACTCTTCCATTACCTTAGAAGTACACACTTTGAAATCATGGTGAGTCATGGATTGATTCCCTTACTACTTCTGTTCAAGATTATAATTCTCAGAGCCAGAACTGTGGAATACAGGAAAAGAGAGGAGAAAGAACATTATTGTACTTTGAAAAAGCTTCCCCACATACAAAACCAAAAGAAAATGTAGACAAATCAGAAATTTAAAATGAGAAATCTGCCAGCATGGCTAGATTTAGAATCAATATATAACAGCTGAATTTCTCTAAACCACATGGACAATTTGCTCTCTTAAAAAATAGTCATAAAGACTAGAATAAATCCTATACCTGAATTTAGTAAGGAGCTGGGAGAAAGCTTACTGAAGGTCAGTAAATGACAGCCTACCTAAATGCAGAGGGAGCTACCTTCACAGGGGGATACTTCCTATTATAAAAATATTAATTATACCCAAATGTGTAGATAAATTTGCATTCAATTATTTCTGAAATTTATATAGAGAAGGAACAGACCAAAAATAGCCAGAACATTTTGAGTGTGTGCATGTGTATATTTCTAGGGATGTAACCTAGGGCCTGGTATGTGCTAGGCGAGAACACACTGAAATACATCCCAAGCCCTTCAAGACACTTCTGAAAAAAAGAGAATATAAAAAAATGCTTTATCAAATAAAGATGTTCATTGTAGATGTATGGAAGTTAAAGTGTCATAGTATTTGGTTTAAGATAGATGCACTGACCAATTAAAAATGCAGAGCTCAGAAATGGTTCAATATACATTGGAAGTGTGATGATACAAACTATTTGTTACACATACGTGGATCTAGTAGCTTAATAAGTAAAACTAAAACAAATAGTTGCCTTTATGTATGAAAGGCATTGACTGATAAAGGGTCTTTGTTTCACATCATTGGCAAAAGAAAAAATGGATGAAAAACAGTATCCAAAGTAAAATAGTTCATTTATAATAAATGTGCATACATATTTTCTTATAGGAGATTTTTTAAGACTCAAAATATTGATCATAATGAAAAAATTGGTAAATTCAAAGGAATTTTTAAAATAATTGTTTTAGTTGTAGGTATACACAATAACCTTTATTTTATTTTTATGTGGTGCCAAAGATCGAACCCAGTGCCTCATGTGTGCTGGGTGAGCACTCTACCACTGAGACACAATCCCAACCCCTTAAGAAATTTTGTTCATCAGAAAAACATTAATTTATGTCTTGATGTTAACAATTACATTAGAGATACCAGGACATAATGGGTTAAAGAAAATTAAAAGACAAGCTACAAGCTGAAGACAAAATCTGGGTTATATAAATAACAAAGCATCAATATCAAGAATATATAGATAACTAGGAGCTGGGGCTGGGGCTTTGTGGTAGAGTGCTCAGCTTGCATGTGTGAGGCCCTGGTACAATCCTCAGCAACACATACATAAAATAAAAAGTTATTTTGTCCACCTTCAACCAAAAATAAAATTTAAAAAATATATAGAGAACTAAAAATCAACCAGGAGAAGACAATAACTTTTCAAAAATATATAAAATTATCCACAGGTTCTTTTCAGAATAAGAAATTCAAGGTCAAAGTAGTACATGCAATGATGCTCAGCCTTGAAACACTCAGGGAAATTCAGGTACCATTTTACACGTTTGTGGGTAAAAAAAAATTCAGAGGTATTATGAAGCATAACCATCAGAAAGGTTGAAACATGGGTTTTGTTATCAAATTTGACCCAGCTATCCCTCTCCTTGGTTTATACCCCAAGGACTTAAAAACAGCACAATACAAGGACACAGCCACATCATTAATTATAGCAGCACACTTCACAAAAGCTAAACTGTGAAGCCAACCTAGATGCCCTTCAGTAAATGAATAGATAAAAAAAATGTGGCATATACACGATGGAATTTTATTTAGCAATAAAAAAGGAAAAAATCATGGAATTTGCAGGTAAATGGATGGCATTGGAGAAAATAATGCTAAGTGAAGTTAGCCAATCCCCCCAAAAACAAATGCCAATTTTTTTATATATAAGGAGGCTAACACATAGTGGGGTGGGGTGGGGGGGAACATGGGAGGAATAGATGAATTCTGGATAGGGAAGAGGAGAGAGAGGGAAGGCGGGGGACAGAGGATTAGCAAGGATGGTGGCTTGAAGGATCTAAATAGAGTTCTGTGGCTGAGACTAGCAGCCATTCTGGGTGCCTCTCACACCCTCTCACAGCCATTCTAGGTCCTCTGCCAGAGGACATCATTATCCAAAGTACATGTATGAAGACATGAATGTGATAGACATCATCATCCAAAGTACATGTATGAAGACAACCAGTGGTATGAAAAATTGTGCTGTATACATTTAATAAGAATTGTAATGCATTCCACTGTCATTTATTTTTTAAAAATCAATAAAAAAATCACAAGAGCTCAACAAATTTTCAGCCCTTAAGGTGGTCCTAAAGACACCTGCTGGGAACTAGAAGCAATATCAAGGTAATTATAATCCCCCAACACCCTCTCACACAGCCACCAACCTTGCACAGTGCATTCCCCCTAAAACCTGGAACAACACAGTGATGCCCTCTTTCACCACTTCTATTTAACATCATCCTTGAAACTCTATCAAGGGCAATTGGACAGAAAAAAAGAAATTAAAGAGATACCAACAGGTAAAGAAGAATTCAAACTATTTCCATTTGTTGATGACATGATTCTATATGTAGAGGATCCAAAAAATCCACCAGAAAAATTCTAGAACTAATAAATGAATTCAGCAAAGGAACAGATATAAAATCAAATGCATTCCTGTACATCAGTGACAAATCTTCTGAAAGAGAAATTAGGGAAACTACCCCATTCACAATAGCCTCAGGGAAAAAAAAAACAACTTGAGAATCAACCTAACAAAAGAGGTGAAAGAACTCTACAATGAAAACTGCAGAACACTAAAGGAAGAAATTAAAGTATACTTTAGAAGATGGAAAGATCACACATGCTCCTGAATAGGTAGAATTAATATTTTCAAAAGGCCATACTACAAAAAGAGCTATACTGAGTGAATGCATTTCCAATTAAAATCTCAACATCATTCCTCATAGAAATGAAAACAAATAATCATGAAATTGATTTGGAAAAATTAAAGACCCAGAATAGCCGAAGCATCCTTAACAAGAAAAGTGAAGCAGGAGGCATCACAATACCACAGCTTAAACTATACTACAAAGATCTAGTAACAAAAATGGCATAGTATTGGCACCAAAATGGACATGTAGACCACTGGTAAAGAATAGAAGATACAGAGGAAAAACAACAACATGAATATAGTTATCTCATATTAGACAAAGTCATCAAAAACACATGTTGGCAAAAAGATATTCTCTTTAACAAATGTTGGGAAAACTCGAAATCCATATACAGCAAAATGAAACTAAACACATATCTCTCACCATGCACAAAACACAACTCGAAGTGAATGAAGGACCCAGGAATTAGATCAGAAGCCTTATGCCTAATAAAAGAAAAGGTAAGCCAAAATCTCCATCATGTTGTATTAGACCCTGACAAGACTCCTGAAAGGCACAAAATAAAATCAAGAATCAACAAATGAGGCGCCCAGGTTCTCCTTGGTGTCCTGGCCAAGGTAGGGCTGGAGGTTGTCCTGGGGTAGGTTTATCTCAATGCTTCCATGGAGAAAGCGGCTTGCATGGCAGGAGCCCTGGATGCTCCATGGCAGCAGCCCCAGATGCTCTCACTTACCCCTCGATAGCAACGGAGGTGGTGGCCACGGGAGCCCTGGAGGGATCAGCCTGTGTTGGGATGTGAGCCAAGATTCCCAGGGTTGGATAGCCAAGGGGAAGTCTTGAGGTCGGTGTGCTGCCT